CATGGGTCACTTCCAGACTATGCAAGGACTAATGATGCCTATTGGACAGAAGGGGCTGGGGTGGATCACCCCACTGACAGGGGTCCCCTTTGGAAGTCGGAGGCTTCGACGGCCAGTCGGCTGGTCATGATTTGCTGACAATAGTCCGAAGTGGCACGATGGGACGAGTGGGAGCAACTCTGCACTGTCACCTTCCATTCACCAAGCCTCTGTCTATCTTTGTATGGGAAGATCATCAGAAGATGACGGTGTCATTAGTTCCAGTTGACACTTTGACAGCAAAGCGCGACCATCAGAAATTCTCTTTCCCTGCTCAAGGATCAAGACTCGATTCCTAGTCAAGGGATGAACCAACTATGACGTTTTTCACCTGTGGCAGGAGCCCTTGATAGAAGCTGATACTGTGGCTGACACATTTAATGATCTTGGTGTGACCGTATAAACAAAGGAGTAGGTGGGCTACTGGCAATGGCGGAACTTCGGAAGCTCTGGCTCTCTTGCAGGGAACTACAAAGTGTTGCTAATGAAGTCACCATGAGATGGCCACCCTTGTGAGGTTGACCCATGATAGAGTGATGTACGTACCTGGGAGTGAGGAGAGGGGATGGGCGAGAAGAAAATAAGAACCGCAGATCCCAAGCGATCTTTCAACCTTCGGACCACCACGACCTTGCCAGTCTCCCTCCCGCCCTAGAGTCCCTTTCTTGTCCCTCGCTGAAAATAGCAGGGCAGGAAAATAGTGCTTGACAATACTAGACTAACAACCACAAGAAGCAAATCACTAGAAACCACAAGAAGCGTTCCACCGCCGCACCAGATATCACTAAAGCTGGAAGTAGTTAATCAACTACTATTTGTATCAGCGTATGGGACCATCCAATCTCAAAAGGCTAGCTGAAGGACGGTAGCGGTGGCAGCACTGGTCGTTGGCGTTGGGTCGGGAGAGTACTCCGTAACCGTTCTGCTTTCCTCGTGGTAGGGGATCAGGTATCTACACCGAGGTGTTTATTAGACTGCTAAACTAGGGCTAACTATCGCACCCAAGTTCCGACTTCTGAATCTCGAGTGGGCCCTCGGCCCCAAATATGATCAGCGAGATCCTTTCAGAATTATCCCCTAGATACATAGTCCGAAAACTCTCTCTTTCAAGCGGCCGACTATTAGAAAACAATACTACAGAAGAAGGATGAAGATGAGGTTTGTCAGCTAGATACCGAGTATTCTCGGATCCGGTTGCATGCTCGGCTCAGGGCCATGGCCGAGGTGGACGGGTTTGGATTGCAGAGTAGAATATCTATCCTATTCCTGGCATCCGAAGCAGCTGTTCATAAGGCTGGTTATCATCGTATCAATCAGTACGGAGTACAGAGTACTAGTAACAGCCGGGATTCGATCTTTTTGAACCTTTCCAGGTGCTTTCTAGGGTAGCATAGGCTACAGAAACCTTAAAGATAAGAATACTGAATACAAGCCCCTCAAAAACTCAATCGACTTAGCGAGTTGTTCTCAATTCTCAGTATCGACTGATCTTGTTGACTATGTATTCTTGCACAGAGAAAACCTAGTTTTCATTTCAGCAGTGTTACGACCCTGACCCGAAAGAAAGGTGGTTCCTGTTCTTCCTCGGACGAAACCAAGCAGACAAAGTATATATCGGCGAATGCTCGGTGAAATCAATTTCCTCCATTGATAGTCGAGAATCCTGATGATGATGGGTACCCAGATAAATACTTAGCTACGCTACTTCGGTTCATTTATCAACTTCTAACCCTGGTTCTGGCACTAAATTTTAGCAGCGGTTCGGTTGGTGTCGGACCCTCGGTGACATCGGTGATTCCGATGCCCATTGCCCATCTTTAGGTCCAAGGATCATCCTCCGTCGGGGGCCTCGGGACCCGGCCAGGAAAGTCTACAGCAACGCCCCTGATTTGTCAATGATGATGTCCTCTCAGACTTTGATGAGAGGTGATCCAAAGGGCCAAGGTGATGCAGAGATTTTGGTCCTTGGAAGCACGGATGATCCGTGGAAACTGTGGTGTTGTGCCCTAATCTGATTTTTATTACGGAGTACTCCGGACGCAGATGGACTAATCTAGGTACCTTATGGAGTGCTATGTGGTCTGTAGGTGCTTATCCGAGAACCCCTGGCAATACCCCTGCAGTAATCAGTCGGTACTTGAGAAACTGTATAAGAGTGCAGCATCACTACCTAGTAAATAAATAAACTGACTGCTGCTGAGGGCTGCAGTACTTTGTAGATGATAGTTCACTTCCCTAATCTGGTCAATCTGCCTGACCCTTGCAGTGGCCAGGCAACTCTGAAAACCTCCAGCATCATGACTTGCAGCATGAATTATGCCGTCGAATCCCTATGTACTAGGTACAGTGTGAAGGAATATGCGCCGGCCGATAGTATGGATTAGCACCGGACTAGCCATAGAAACCACCATCAAGCTCAACCGTGCGACGAAAGGAAGAGCTTACTTGATGATCAATACTAATAATACTAATAGTAATATTTAAAAGCAGTCTCGAAATGCTATCATCCCCTTAGTTCGGAGTACCCGAGACTGTTTAAGTGGAATCAACCCGCCAAGACTATTGGCCATGTGGGATTCTCCCGCTAGCAAGAATTGTCCACAGTCCACCGGAACTTCGAAGACTGACATAATCTACGGAGTAGTCGATACTGTATTGATGAAAAGGAAATTATAGGAGCCGCAAGGAAGGATTACACAGTTTGCATTTTGGAGACATCCCGTCAGCCTACCCTTGATCCTTGCTTCGGCACCTAAACCAGCACGATCCGAAATGAGGGCGGTCCAGGGAGTGAACCCTTACCTTAGGTCTCATGCTACAGAATGCAAGTGTAGTCTTCTGTGCCAAGTCACTAACTAGTCGTGATATAACAACGGCTTTCTAGACTACTGCAAAGTGCACCATAGTACGGAGTAGACCCTGTTAAGTGCCAAGCATGGGTTCGAAATGGAGGATTTGCCAGGACTGCAAGTGCAAGTACGGAGAATCTATCTAGACTAATGCATGAGCATGGAAGTTTGATGATGATCGAAGCTTTGGCAATTATCTAGCAGATAGCCAGGGGCAATGGAACAAAAACTCAATAGTCTCGTTACTCCTGGCTTGCTTCTCACGAGGGACGTTTACACTCCATCGCCCACACTAGGTTGCTTGATCTGAGCAACACGTTGCGTTGATGTTGACGAGTACACATGCCTATCCGTCAGACCATCATCCAAATATTGACTTCATCCTATCTTCTCAAAATCAGGGAAGCCATACTAAAAAGTTTTGACGGTGCCTGGTCTCTGATCACCGCAAACCCTAATCGAAAACAGAAAATGTTTCACCCTTCCCGCTCACTGACTCCTAGCAACGATGCATAGCCACCCATCCAAATCAAAAACCGACCGACGATCTCACCCAACGGAAAGCTGTGGGATGATACCTCCGGTGGGATGGCTGAAAAGACGACTTGCATGACCTCATATTCATCGTCAAGGTCTGGTCTAGTCAACGAGAAATGGCCCGATTAACCGATCAGACAGAGCTTAGAGCTCGGGGTTCACTTGAATGAGAATCTGCATATGCCTGCAATCCTACTCTGTATCTCTGGTGACTATTGATCATGGATTGATTGATAACTGGGTGACGATTGTGATCGGATGCTGCATTGTGCTGCCCAGTGGCAGCCAGCGTCCACCACGTCGGCCGGATGAAGAAAATACATTGGTCAACCACCACAGTAGCCACCACAACGCAGTATCTACTTCTAAGCAGCCTTCATCAAGAGCAGCAATCAAAATGAAAAGATAGGCCCGTCCTGCTCTACTGTCAACTGTGTCATGTGTAGCTGAATCCAAGCTTACCGCGCCTTAGGTGTCCGCGTCTACGAATAGTATCACCCTGCCGCTAACGACACAATGTCTGAGTTGTGTATGCTAAATAAAGCCCGCGTTCGTTCCAAGCCGGCCTCAACCATTTCCAGTCCCTGGTAGCCATCGACAATCTGCAGCCATGATTCGTCTACACGCCTTTATTTGTCGATTGGGGTTATTCAGCGTCAACCACCATGGATTTGTTCCGGCTATTTTCGTTCGGATATACAGACACCTCGTCAATATGTATTCGTCTGCCAGGACAAGTCCAGTATCCAGGTCACTGCACTTATACTGCTGGTAGAAGAGATGCTATGCATTGCGTACTGCGCATCAATTCGAGATAGAGATACCTACAGTGCCGTACTCTCTCCATCCAGGGTATTGCCTAACCACAAGCCCAGAACAGCACTGAACGACGACACCAACCATTCAGCGTCTAACTACTCAGGGGAGACACTGAGACAGAATGACATATCAAGGATCCGGCTCATAGCTACGGACTATTTCCCTCACCTCTCTGGGAGTGCGAATGGTGATTTGACAACCGGCTAATGTACGGAGTTCACGAGGTCTAACCGCCCTGCACTAGTTTCACTTTCACCTGCGCTGGACCAGAATAGCAGGCTGTCCGTCGTTCCCCTGTCCCTCAGCGCCTGAGGGTGTGAAGGATGGGGTCCCAGGGTGTTCCCAACGAGAATTTTTCGGGCTTTTAGCATGGGCTGCCTGGCAGTTGTGTGATTTTCAGCAAAGGCTAGTTCCCGGACTCTGGAATGGATGATGATAAAGCTTTTTTGACTAGCTGAGAATGTACTGTACTACAGTTACTCTTGACCACCTACTAGTCGTAGTTCTGCCAGAGATCCTACTGCCTGGACTTTGGACAGTCCTTTGGGCTTGGCTCTATCCCCTGCCACGCTCACCATAATCTGGTTTGACTCCTACAGGCGCATCATCTAAGACATCACTGCTGAGAATCAAAAACGACCCAACTGAGCCCTGTGAATAAGCATAGCAATACCCTCTATCTACTGCGTCAAAAGGAAAGACTCTGAAACACATCAGCTACACTCTCTATCCTCCTGTTCTCCAAAGAATCCATCCTCACACTTTCTTCGAGCTCTCTTCCACAGTCCTACCATAACAGACAGGAAACAATCTGGCCCAGAAACCCGCTCGTTTGGGATTCCTCTCCCTTTCTGTCATCAACCATCGAGCAAACGTACCCTCCGTGCGAGAAGGACTTGTACTTCGCAGATGCGCAATCTACTCAGTCAGACAGAGCACATGACATCACGAAACTGAGTCCACACACCTCATCGTACTTCCGCAATGCTAACCAATAATGCTGTGATAGACCGAACGTACTCCTAAGTGTCCTCCTGCCGATTCTCGCCGCTGCCGTGGTATAGACCGCCGACAGAACCTTTCGGTCGAGCCTTTGAAGGTCGCTGATGGCGTATCCCCTGGGTAATTTCCGACCTTGTCGTTGGTGAACCACTTCGATGAGACTTGTCAGGATGTCGGCTTCCCATGTGGCAAGGAGATCGTGATGGAAGGATGTGATGTGTCGCTGGAGTCTCATCAAGTCGAGTTTGAGGCGAAGGTTGCGTGATTGGATCTTGGCGATCTTGTATTCGAGGTTATGGTTGCTGGCGTTCAGTGCATCCAGCGCTTCGCAGTATCTCTGGCGAAGAAGATCATCAGTCTATTGATTCCGTCTTGCACGAGACATCGAGCTCGACTCACCTCGACTGATGATGGAGGAGATGCGGAGACCAAAGTCGATTGTGAAAGGGAGAGATCCGGGGACATGCTGGGCTCGTATGGTCGGAGTCTGATGCTCATGGTGACTCGGTCGGCGCTCAGTGTCTTCGTACAGTGATAGATGCTAAGGAATGAATGACTAGACTATTCAACAAGATAAGCTGCTGCAAAGGAATGATTGTCCCGTCGCTCATGTACACTGAGCGTGTGATGTTGACGAACTCTCATGCCTGTGTGATGTGTCCTACTAGCTAGAGTGTAGCTATTGTGATGGAGTCACCAAAGGAAAGAGCCACCCGCTACGTGGAAAGCACAATTGAAATATCATCATTCATGAGCTATGTACTGTATTTCGTCTAGGTCTCTTAGCGTCGTGTATATACCATAGAGCAGTCTGTCAATCTGTGCAGCCATATCCATAAATCACTCGCTGAATAGGCGGAGAATTTGTGCTAAAGACCTTCTACAAGCAATCATAGCTTGCTTCCCGAAGCCTTTCCGAATTCAATTACCAGCTTCCCGAATTGCTTGCCTTCTTTCATGTCCTGGAACAAACTGTCAAGTCCCTCGATATCGCCCAAGTCGGTCTGCACAACGCGAGAAATCACTGGGTGAATCTTGTTCGCCTTGACGAAATCAATCATCTCTTTGAACTCCTTGCGAGAGCCCATTGTAGAGCCACGGACGTCAATGTTCTTCAAAACAGCCTGCATCAGGAAAGGCATCTTGGGGGAAACAGTCATTCCATAAACGGAGAGGACACCGCCAGCCTGGCTCAGTCAGTCGGGCTTCAGGGTGGGCGCTCTTTTGGACGTCATACCTTGAGCAACTTGGCCGCCTTCTCGACAGAGTCACCACCAGCACCATCGATGATGGCGTCAAAGTTCCGCTTGCCACTAGGAAGCATACCCAAAAGTTTCTTCTCCCATCCATCTTCCTTGTAGCTCACACCACCTCTCGCACCTAGTGCCACGGCTTTTTGAATCTTCTCCTCGCTCGAACTCGTCACATAGACATCCGCACCCCTTGCCACCGCGAAACGGAGAGCGATCAGCGCAACACCACCGCCGATCCCCGTGATCAATACAGCCGCGCCTTTGCCAGAATTCCTTTCGCCCGCCTTGACCACCAAGGCTCTCCATCCCGTCAATCCAGTCAATGGCAAAGCAGCGGCTTCTGCGTCCGACAGATGCTCGGGAGCTTCTTCCACCTCGGACTCTTCGATGGTGAGGTATTCCTGCAGTGTACCCTTGTTGTAGAGCTTTGTTCCGCCCATGATGCGATAGCCCTTGGGATCTTCAGGTCCATCGGGAGAATCCTTCCAGCCCGTCCCGGGGTTCAGAATCACTCGCTTGCCCTGCCACCGTTCGGGATTTGTCACATCGGGGCCAGTGCCGACAACCACTCCCACCCCGTCTGCGCCGAGGGGAACATCGAAAGTGACGCCGGGGTATAGATGCTGCCGCAGGAAAACATCACGATGATTGAGGGAGGCTGCAGTCATTCTTAGCAGGAGCTCGCGCCCCTGGGGTGTCGGCAAAGGCAATGTCTGGAGGGAGAGGGGGTAGTAGACTTGGCCAGGTTTGCCATCGACTTGGGAGATGAAGATTGCTTTTGACATTGTGACAGTAGTGTGAGAGTCTTTGGCAGTTCAGTGCGATAATTGACAGCGATGGAAAAGAGAGAAATGGAAATTCGAGCTGTGGAAATTCTACCCCAACACACATCGATGATCGGTAAGCCGTGCGGGGATGACGATGTGACGGCCGTTATCGATAACCGAGGCTGAGGACGGAGTGGCGGATGAACTGTGTGGACGAAGCCAATTAATGTTGAAAAATGATGATCACCATCGGGTTGTCCCAAGCGATGATATGCATCTTCATTCTGCGTGATGACACTATCAGGTTCGTTTGTGGTGAGAAGTGCACAGCTTACTGCCATCTTGAACAACCTCGGTTCGGACAAGTCAACATTCATTTCTCAAGACACCGACATAGCTGTACCTATGATAGAAGTGCAAGTCCATGAATAGAATAAACGAAAGTTCGAACTCTGAGCATTTCGTCTCTTACTGTCGCTGAGCTGAATCGATGAATGTCTCCGTGTATTACCGGAGGTACTACATCTACTTCAATCTTTACGGATGACCCTGCATCCCGCTTCTAAATTGCTTTGCCAACCCTCACGAATCGCCCTCGTCGCTGTTGACGTCCATATCAACTCTTGCACTGACACTGCGGACATCAATGGTGACCGGAATTCAGATTTAAAACTTGCGATCTAGCTGATGATTCATCCATGGACGACGGCGATGATAAGACCTCGTCTCGAAATCCAAATCCGCTTCATGGCCCGTCTCCGCGGGGGAATACTCGCACTTGCTGAAGAAGGTATCCTCGCAGCAGTCGAAGCGATCACAGCTCTCGAATCGGGTGAAGCTCTGTTGACACTGAACTGGTGCAGACTGATGAGGGCTCCTCGCTTTCGTTGAGCCGCAGCACTGCATTTCGAGCTTGGGATGGGGGAAAGGGGGCGGGTAGAATTTGCATCTGGTTGCTGGGTATGGGATGTCTTGGGGCGTCTGACAGCATGAATCTCCCGGAAGACAAGGATGGGGTGAGGAGATGCTTTCGGCTGTGCAGTATCTGTCTAGAGAGCAGGGCTCTGGGCGGAGAGTGTCGTATGGACAGTCTGGGCAGGTGAAGGCCGGGGGACGCTGAGAGGTGGAACAGCTGGGGGGTTGACTTTGGTGGCCTTCCGGACCGCCATGTCTTGGCTGCGCTTCAGGAGAGCGGGCGTTTGGTTTCTGCTGCGGCGTCTCTGGGACCCATTGGTAGGGTTCGGTGTTGTTACCATGTCCGCAGGGACAGGATGGTTTGTCCGGGACATTGGGAGGACAGCACGGTCGGTCAGGCGCACAGTGATCGGGAGGCTGAAGGATATGTGATCCGGTACAGACGGGTCTGATCTTCTCGCCCTGGGCAAGACCAGTCCGAAGTGGTTTGCCTTGCCAGTACCAGGCATATGGCATAGCAGTCTTGTCTTGCTTCATCCTGGGGAAAGCTGATGTGTTGCGATGTAGACATGTGCTTGTTGGCTGGGGAGCATGCTTGCGATATATATACAGACCGGTATGGCCATTGTACGCAGGCTTTCAGCAAACACACAAACACAGATGTGCAAAACACCAGAGATCCATCATTGACTGTTGATTGCTGTGCAGACAAAGACTACTGATGGTCAATATGGAGGATAACTGGTGCCTGAGGCTTCAACATCAGAAGCGGAGGTTGGTGATGGTGAGGCATGGTGTATGTATGACCAGTAAATGCCATCCATCCACCTTGCCTTCATGCCTTGCATCCTTCCTGCATCTGAAAGGAAGGATGGTCCATAAATACTCTCTTCCCCTTTCACACATTTTGTTCCAGCAAACAAACCAGGGATTGGTGCATATTGCATCTCCATACCTAGGAGTCAGCCATCTCAGGCGTTCATACAGACTGAAAATTGACCAGCACCAGTAATGCGGTGGACGTGGCAGTAGAACAATATAGGTCTGTCTGGGGCTGTTATGTCCACGCACTCTGAAAAGTCCTTTCCCATGCTGTACACCGATCACCTGCCGGGTGTACAGGTATTCAGTATAGTCCCTACCTACTGCTGATGTTCCTGAGGTGAAATCTAATCAATCATAATCATCGATATCATATGATAGATTTACCAGTCAATTATAATCTCACGCTGATCCTCTATACACATCTCATCGCAATGTCCTCTGATTGACTCGATACTTCTTAGGTAACTAGGTAGAAAATTAGCCCCATTCTTTGTGCGTTTGTGTATGCCCTGTATGGTAAAACCGCGTAACCCCAGCTAACCTGGCCTACTTAATAAAGTGCAGTGGCTGGCAACGAAAACAGCCCAAGCCCCAGACACAAGCCCGTGTGATAATTCCACGCTCAGCCTGCCATTCGCCTGCCGCCTCGTCCATTTTTCACAGCCAGGAACTTCCACCAGGACAAGACAACAACATCGAGACAGACTGCGCTTTACTCGAATCTTCCTGATCTCGACCTGGATCGTCTAGCGTTCTTGTCTCTAACCAGATCTTCAATCTCTCCTTCTTCCTCCAGTTAAAAAAGAAAGGTTTGTGCCAACAGCTCCCCCCCCCCCCAAATGTTATGCTGCCTCTAATACAACCGGTCGGCTGCTGATCTACTAGTCTTCTTCCAGCTACCTACTCTTTTGCTCTCGTGTCGTGCGTCGTTCTCCCACGCAAACGTTCGCAACCCTTCCCTTCAACTTTCCCCAATCCGCCACCACAACGCACTGAGAACCAACTCTCACGCGACGAGTTTTGTCTTGCCTCGACTCCCTCGTTTTCGCTGAACCGGTGATTTACCTTCATCAGTCAGCCATTGCTTCCATAATGCCTACGCCACTCCCTTCGAGTTTTGCTTCGGCCGCTGCTGGCAATACTCAGGACGCCTCCAGCAGAAGAGGTGATGGAACTGCCGGTGGAGAATGGTATGCAATCGTGTCCTATGTCCTCTTAGCATTAAATGCCCTATCAACACATTTTCTCATTTTTCTTCTCTCTGCCTCTCCCGCGGAAGTGTCCATTGCGATACTTCCTCAAGTTGGTCTGAAACTTTCTTTGATAACTCATACCCTTTCTTTCCCAGGTCTCGAACTCGCATGAACGGAGCAACACAAACTTTCCGCCGTCCGTCAGTCGCTACGAACCCTTCTCAGACGCGAGACATCCCTCAATCTACATCTGCTACGCATCCGACGGTCGGTGCTTATACTCCCCCGCACATGACCTCGAATCAACCCAGCGCACTCCGCAATGGGGCCGGCGACAACCGTTATTCCAAAGAACAACTGTTGAGTCTCTACAAAGCCCAGCGAGAGTCAGGTGCTCTAGGCAAAAACGTTGTGGATTACTTTGTCGCCGACTGGAACCCTCACGTGGAGTCCTCTCCCACGAACGGAGCATGGGGAAAGCGAGAGGATTCCAAGGATAATCCCTCTGGACCCGAGATTTGTTGGGATCACGGCGGGCAGGTTGAGCCTCTGGGCCTAGTGGATATGACTGATGATGAGAAAGAGGTTTGTCTTGTCTTTGTGTGCCCCTTGTTTCTGACACCTGAAGATCGCCCTTGGTTCATGTTGGAAAGTGCTGTGCTGAACTGTGTAGTTATTTTCCCTTTCGGTCAACTCCCCGCTCAAGCCTCCACCAACCAATGCCGCCAAGGAGAATGCCGGTGCTCCCACTGGAGGACGCAAGACATCCGTTTCGTATCCTCAGAGCCACATGAACAACTACAACACCTCTTCCCCCAGCTCCGCACGCCCTGGCCCCAGGCGTCGAGAGACCGGCGATTCTGTGAGTAATGCCATGTCTCCCACAACCAGTGGTTCCCGTTTCTTCCGCGACGAGCCGTCTACCTCTACCCCGCCTCCGTCTCTATTACGCCGCAAAACCGATTTTCGCGAGACTACGTCTGCCTCCAAGTGGGATCAGAAGGACAAGGAAGCTCCTGCCCGTGAGGGTGGCTCTGAAGTTGCCTCTCCGTTCGGTTCCCTGAAACGGAGCGCTACCAATCCTTTGGCTACTGCGGCTGGGACAGCAAGCTCTCCATGGGGTTCCGCTTCGCAGAGTGCCAGCTTCTCGCCGATGGGAGCCTTTGGGGCCTTCTCGTTGGGAACGAGCGCTTCTCAAACTCCAACCGCGGAGAAGAAGCCGGGTTTTGGAAGTGTACGCGGGGAGAGTCGCCTGAAGGGCTTATTCTCCAAGGATAGCTCAGAGGATATTTCAGCCTCCATCAAGGAGAAGCCTTCCCTCAGTAATCTGGAACGTTTGGCCGAAGACCAGGGAGAGAAACGCTCGCAGTCACCTTGGGGGGAACCCGTCAAGACGCGCACTGGCCGCAGTGAGACCAACCCGTTTGCGGAGGAGCCTCGCAGTGGAAGCGCTGCCCTTGGAGGATCTCAGGACGTGAGCACACCCTCGCAAACCGCTGACCAGCTGGGCTTCTCTGCCTTTGGCATGACATCCAGTATCCCCGGCTTCAGAGAGCTCATGCAGAGCCACGAGAATTCTCGCAACCCCACGCCGAGCTTACTCCAAGGCCATGAGCCCACTAGCCCAACCAACACCAATCCTTACCAAAGCCCGCACGGCGAACGGATCGACGCTGACGATGTCGAAACTGACGGATCGGACATTCAAAACACCCATCACCCTGGTCTCTCGGGTCTTCGGGATACGTCCGGCCCATTTGGCTCGATGCGAAGAGTAGGGTCGGGAATGGATCTGCCTTCTATCGACCGTAGCCAGACATCCAGTGCGGCAGGCAACCGCAGCTTTTCTGGTCTGGGCGGTCTCGGCGGTCTTCCTACTCTTGGAGGTGCTTCGGCTTGGTCTTCTGGCGCTGTTGGGACTCCTACTCGAGAGAGGTCCGCTTTCTCTACCGGGTTCGGAGATCCTATCTTCGGCACCATGGCTGATCTTCAGTCGCCTAGTCTGTCAACGCTCGGAGGCGGTGGCATCTTCAGCCCTGGCATTACTGGTACCGGCAGCATTGGCCGCTCCAGCAAGCTAGGCTCTCTATTCCCCCCGGCAATGCAAGAGCAGATGCAAGGGGATCACGCCAGACAAGGCACCTTGGAAGATGGTTCTCATCAACAAGGTAAGGACCACCTATGCTATGAAATTAATTTTTTTTTCCCATACACTAACCCTCGTTGAAGAAGTCCCACAGGCAGACAAAGCTGGTCAGCCGGCGACAACCTCGACCTCCCAGACTCCTGTCTCTGCGATCGGTTCCGTTCCGACCTCTATGGCTTCCGAGGCGCCACAACCAAGTCAAACTCCAGGTCAGTCCGGAAGCAACGCTGGGTCTGTACCCCCTGCTCAACAGCGAACCATGGTGATGCCCGATCGTATGCGCTGGATTTACCGTGATCCTCAGGGTAACATTCAAGGTCCATGGACCGGGCTGGAGATGCACGACTGGTTCAAGGCCGGCTTCTTCAGTCCGGACCTGCAGATCAAGAAGCTCGAAGATCCGGAGTTTGAACCATTGGCGCAGCTGGTGCGACGCATTGGGAACTCGCGAGAACCCTTCCTCGTACCTCAGATCGGAATTCCTCACGGACCCGACCCCGGCTCTGGCTCTTGGACGGGAACCACCACCGGTACCGCTCAGCCGCCCTTCCCTGGCAGTTTCCCGAGTTTTGGAACCACCTTGACTGCCGAGCAGCAGAACGCTTTGGAGCGTAGGAAGCAAGAGGAACAGTATTTGATGGCCAGACAGAAGGAGCACCTTGCTCAGCAGCAGGCGATGATGAAGCAGATGCAGCTGCAAGGCGCCGTCCATCCTGGCATTCACCCTCATCAACTTCAGCATCATTCCAGCGCCCACAGCCTTCACAGCCAGCCTAGCTTTGGAAGCATTGCTTCGCCCATTGGATTTCAGCCATCTCCGATTCAGGGCCCAATGCAGCAACAGCAGCCCCAGTCTGTGGCCGGTTTCTTCGATGCCGCAGCACCATTGAGACAGGGATCCTTGCCTAATGTGGGCCCGCAAATGGTCGGAACCGATCTGGTCAATAGCCCGCATCAACTTGCGCCTCTCCTTGATCGCTTGAACGTGAGCCGTCCTGATCCGTTCGCGTTTGGCAGTCCGTCGTCTTTTGCGGCTCGGCAACCGGACAACCTGTTTCATCCCCAGCAAGTAGCCACGATGTTGCAGGACCGTGCCCGGCTGCAGCAGGAACAGGAACAGTTTGACAGTGCTCAGGGAGACAGCCTTTTCGAGCAGCAGGCCCGCGAAGACCGGCTGCGCCAGTTTCACGCACTGAGAGCCCAGGAAGGCGATTTCGGGATGCAAAGTGCTGAAGGCCTTCCTTCCCACCATGCTGCCGAGCCCTCCCAGCAGCCGGAAATCGCACCCATTGGTTCTCCTCAGAAGACCGGTGCCAGCTCCGCTGTTGACCAGATCACCGCTCCAAGCGAGGAGGCCCCACTCACTCTGTCCCAACAGGTCCAGAAGGCTGCATCCGCTCAAAGACAGCAGCAGCAGGAACAACAGGAGCAGCTTGAGCAGCAGCAGAATGAGAAATCTCAAGCTGATTCCGCTTGGGGGACCAAAGAGCAAAGCGCTATGCCGCAACCATTCCCCCCTCCACCTTCTGCATCGCCACTCCCCGCTCCTGCCGCACAGCGTAGCCGTCATAATGTCGCCGAGTCCCTGGCAGCGAACTCGCGGTCCCAGACACAGACTCCTGTCGAGGCCCCCACCACATCCGTGGCGCCTTGGGCCAGAGAGGCTAATGAAATGCCCAAGGGACCTTCGTTGAAGGAGATTCAAGAGGCGGAGGCTCGTAATGCTGCTCAGAGGGAAGAGTTGGCTGCTGCCGCTCGTCGTGCCCAACTCCTTGCCGAACAGGAGCGTTTGAGCCAAGCGCAAGTGCAGGCCCCCGGTCTTCCATCCACCGCCAACTGGGCCAGTACTGGATCCCCCGCTACCCCGACGTCCACCGGTTCCGTTTGGAACAACAAGGGCCAGACCACTACTACTGGTGGTGCAGCGAAGAAGACGCTTGCTCAGATCCAAAAGGAAGAGGAAGCCCGCAAGCAGCGCCTGGCGGCCGCCGCGGCTGCTGCCCAGAGTGCAGCTGTTTCCCCACCCGCGTCATCGACCGGCAAGCGGTATGCGGATCTCGCCAGCAAGGCCCCTGCCACAGCCCCCGTTACCGCAGCCAGCTCCGGTGCCTGGACTACCGTTGGCGCCGGCGGCAAGCCCAAGCCTCCCCCTGCCGCACCGTCTGGTCCCCGTGCTACCAGCGGTAATGTTCCATTGGCCGCATCGCCCGCGAAGCCCAGGGCCGTAACAGTGGCCAGTCCCCGACCCGTGGCCGTCGGTAGCACCCCGCCATCGAACCCCAACCGCGCTCTGGAGGAGTTCACCAAATGGGCCAAGTTGTCGCTGGGTAAGGGGCTGAACAGCAATATCAATGGTAAGTGATACATCTACGGAGTGATCGGTTTGTCATTGAAAGCACAAAACTCATGTGATTTAGTGGATGACTTCGTTCAACAATTGCTTCTCTTGCCCGCGGAGGCGGAGATTATCTCGGACTCGGTCTATGCTAATTCGCAGACCCTGGATGGTCGGCGATTTGCGGAGGAGTTCATTCGACGTCGCAAGCTAGCGGACAAGGGCATTGTTGACCCGGTGGCACCCAGCGCCCTTGCGGACCAGAAGAACGCTGCCGGAGGCGGATGGAGTGAAGTGGCCAAGAAGGGGTCGTCCAATGCGCACCGTGAAGAAGAGAGCAGCAACGCAGCGTTCAAGGTGGTGGCACCCCGTAAGAAGGGCAAGCGGTAAACGTGATGAACCTGTAGAACGATGGGCCTGTGTGATTTCGAGAAAACTTGGTGGACCGTGTATTCTTGTTGTTCCTGCGTGTAGATATGATATCTACGGCCTATTTGGGTATGACGCGTTGTCTTGTCCGCGGCGACCGGGCTTGTCTCTTGCTCTTGTACTCTATTATGATAAATCATCAATATCAATTGAGCCGATTGCGTCTGTGGCATTTGCTAGAGTTTCTCAGTTGACAACGTCAGCACTATCACGATGCCTGACTCTGATGGTAAAGGTCCGACGATATCCGCAGTGGCCACCGTTGTTCCGTTTGTACTCTTCGTCGGGGTAACTGATCTGATCAACCCAATTGATTTGTCCGTGTGCAGAGTCGGTTTATTGGAACTAGTTATCATCACTTGTCTCGAATCGTCAGTAGTTGCGTAGGTGTGGATGAGTCACTCGCGGCCCCTCGTTGACTCCATCCGAGGTTTCTCGTATTCTTAAGAAGTCCTTTAGCTCCTCCCATCCTCGACTGTTATCGGCCATTCCCTTTCAATTCTCTCAAGACAACCATAGTGAATTCTTTGTTGAACAAAATGTCTGCTCCCGCGCCCTTCGGTGCCTCGATGGCAAAATCTCACTGGCTGTTTGACCCGGACTTCAAAAATCTCAACCATGGCAAGTTCCTGTTCTAGTATCCCTCTGAACAGTTCCATTGACCTGGCTAACACCCCCACAGGCTCCTTCGGCACATATCCCCTTTCCGTGCAATCGGCTCTGCGGCAATTCCAGTCGCAAGTCGAGGCCCGCCCGGACCAATTCATCCGGTACGTCCAGCCCCAACTGCTAGACGAATCCCGCCGCGCCGTGGCCTCGCTACTCAATGTGCCCACCAACGAGTGCGTGTTCGTCAAGAATGCCTCGACAGGCGTCAACACCGTCCTGCGCAATCTGGTCTTCGAGCGGGGTGACGTGCTGGTGTATTTTGACACCGTCTACGGCGCTGTCGAGAAGACCCTTGTCTCGCTGGTTGAGACCACGCCGCTGCAGCTGCGGAAGGTCCAGTACCAGTTCCCCATCAGCCATGACGAGCTGGTGCGGAAGTTTCGGGAGGTCGTGGCGAATGCTAAAGCGGAGGGATTGAAGGTTCGCGTTGCGGTGTTTGATACGATTGTCAGCATGCCTGGGGTGCGATTCCCGTTTGAGCGGTTGATCGAGGCGTGTCGCGCCGAGGGGATCTTGAGTGTGGTGGACGGGGCGCATGGGATCGGACAGATCCCCCTGGACCTGGGGGCTTTGCAGCCGGATTTCTTCACGACTAATTGTCACAAGTGCGTTGCCTCATCCTTTGATCTTGACTTATTGTCAATACTGATGGTACCGTGCCAGGTGGCTGTATGCCCCCCGGGGCTGCGCTGTCCTCTACGTCCCCCTTCGCAACCAACATCTCATCCGGACCACTCTCCCCACCTCCTGGGGCTTCATCCCGTCCCCTGACTCCCCCACCACCGCGCCCTCGCTCATGCGCAGCGGTTCAGGCAAGTCCGCCTTCGAGGAGCTCTTCGAGTTTGTCGCGACCACCGACGACACGGCTTACCTGTGTGTTCCTGCGGCGCTGAAATTCCGCTCCCAGGTCTGCGGCGGCGAGGACCGCATCTACGCTTACCTGGAGAAGCTGGCGCATGAGGCCGGTGACGTTGTTGCGGCGGCGCTGGGCACGGAGGTGATGCAGGAGCCGGGCTTGAAGGCCGGCGAGGTCAGTCAGATCCGGCGCTGTGCAATGGCGACGGTGCGGCTGCCGTTTGCCGTGTCTGGTGGAGAACAGGATCCGAAGACGGCCTCGGCTCGATTGACGCTGCAGGCTGCGCAGGTCGCCGAGGTTGCTGGGGATATGCAGAAGGCGCTGACGCGGGACTATGGGACCTTTGTGCCTGTGTTTGCGCACGGCGGGTGGCTGTGGACCCGGCTGAGTGCGCAGGTTTACCTGGAGAAGAGCGATTTCGAGTGGCTTGCTGGTGTTCTGGAGGAGCTGTGCAACAAGGTGGTGAGGAAGTTTACTGAGCCAAAGTTGTGATCTCTATGAATTCTGCATGTTTCGCTCCGTGTACCTACACTCCTTTAGGTTATATCATACATGAACTGCTGCCGTCAGGAACGACTGAACACCCTCCGTCCCTCAAAGTATGTCTCGTACACCGAGGCCTCGAGCAGCTTCTCGGCCTCCCACTCCATATCCACGACCGCAAAATCCGCCTTCTTCCCGACCTCCAGACTCCCCGTGAACCCATCCGCAAAGCACGAGTACGCCGACCCGGCCGTCGCCGCCGAAACCGCCTGCAGCAGCGACAGCTTGAACTGCGGGTTCACCGTCGCTGCCGACTCGGGCTCCCGCGCCGAGCGTCTCGTCGTCGCCGTGTACAGATTCCTCAGCGGCAGATGCGGCGCCGTCGGCGAGTCCGTCCCAATCGCCAGCGGCGCCCGGTGGGCCGCGAAATCCGCATACGCAAACGCGCGCGCGCACCGCTCCTCGCCCAGCAGCCGCGGCCACGCGCGCAGGATCGCCGGGTCCGCATGCACCGGCTGCACCGAGGCCGTGATGCCCAGCGCCCCGAGCCGCGCCGCGTCCTCGGGCGCCGTCAGCTCCAGATGCTCGATGCGATGGCGCCGGCCGGGCGTCCCGACCGCGGCGAGCGTGTCGATCGCCAGCCGCACCGTCGCATCGCCGATCGCATGCAGCGCGCATTGCAGGCCCGCCGCGTCCGCCTTGGCCACCACGGCCCGCAGCATGTCGGCCGGCCACAGCGGCTCGCAGTTGACGGCTCCGTCCGCGGGGCCCGCCGCATGAGCCGCGTACGGCCGCAGCAGCGCCGCCGTGCACGCATCCACCACCCCGTCGCAGATCACCTTGATTCCCGCGATGCGGAAATCCGGCGACGAGCGCGCATTGTACACCGCGTGCAGCGCGATCGCGCGGTCCACCTGCGCCAGACACTCGTCGACCGTCGCCGCCGGCGTGATGATCCAATGCGCCGCCACCCGCAGCGACACCGGCTCCGTCTCCGTCTCCCGCAGCGCCAGCATCGTCCCCCACACGTTCTCGTCCGTCGCCATCTCCACCACCCCCGTGTACCCCGCCGCGTTGTACGCCCGCACCGCGGCCCGCACAAACCCCATCTTCTCCTCGCGCGACGCAACCCGCGCCACATGCGGCCAGACGATGTTCACCGCCGCCGCTTCGGCGAGTAACCCGCTGGGCTTGCCCTGCGCGTCGCGGTGGATCGTCCCGCCCGCGGGATCGGGCATGGCCGCCACGCCTAGCTCGGCCAGCGCGGCGGTGTTGCACCACGCCGAGTGCAGATCCTTGGAGTCGATGAAGATGGGCCGCGGGTCGAGGTCGTCGAGCATGCTGGCCAGCGCCTGCCCGTCTGTCATGGCGTGCATCCACCCGCGGCAGAAGAGGCGGCGGGCGTGCGGGCGCTGCGCTGCGGCTGCTCTGATGGTCGCGCGGATGTCGGCGAGCGTTTTGCAGTGGCCGAGGTCGATTTTGGAGAGGCCGGCGCCGAAGAGCAGGAGGTGCATGTGTCTTGTCTATGCTGTTAGCTTGAAGCACCCTAGTGGGAACTGTGGGGACGTACCCGTCGATGAACCCCGGGATGACGGTTCGCCTTTGCAGGTCTACGATCTCGACACTTGATGCTTGTTTGGCTTGTGCGACGGGCTCGTCGGTCTCATCGCCTATGTATGCTATCTTGTCGTTCTCAATGACCATGCAACCCAGGACGGGTTCGGATTGCGAGCTCCCGTTGCCTCGGACGATGAGGCCATTGGTGAAGACGGTCTTCATTTTGTATGTGGATGATGATGGACACGATGACAGTAATAGATGAAAGAAATATGTGAAAGAAAGACCGACGCATTATATACTAGGAGTGGTCTATGTCCACAGCGATGTATCCCATAAGGCGTGGCGGGGGCGGGGCGAACAGTGGAGCTTCATTTGTAGTGCAGAAGTATAAATTCTTGAATCAGCCTAATTCAAGGCCTGCTGACTACTTGTGTTCGGTCGAAAGGATTGACACTTGTATGACGCTGGGGATCGCTTACTGACAACAGACAGAAGGCTGGTACTGGGATGGCGCTGATGATATATTCAATAATGCTGGATTCGGTTTATGTACATCAACACATGGACTCATGCTAATCACCGTCTCAACAGAATTCACACTCTGCCGCCAATTCAAAGCCCAGGATAAGGATAAAAGAGTAATCACCACAGTCAAACGCAATGCTAACCATGAAGCCGTAATTTATAAAAGGCTCAAAAGCCCGAGGAATGAGTCGGATTCTTTCATGCAATGCAGCGATTAGCTGCCACCAAAATGACTCCTAACCCACCCGGTAAACCCTCCGCCGCTACTACTTTCGTTGTGACTGGATTGTCCTTGGTTATGCTCGTTTGCTTCTGATATGTTCCCCAACGGATGGTCACCCCATGTGGGAGGGGCGTGTCCGCTATGCTGCGCCGGACCACTGCTACGGCGGCGCTCGGGAGATGCAGATTCAGGACTATCGTTGATGACAACGGGATTCTGACTGGTTCCTTCAGCTCTGCGAATCGGTCAGTATCACTATTGACAAAGCATTGGAAAGAATACTTACTGTTGGGCATCAATCCCCCTGCGACAATGGGGACATGTGTTATGTTGGCTTAACCAGGCTTCAATGCATGGAAAATGAAACCAGTGTTTGCAGGGCAAGACCGTGACCTCTGTGCCTAATTCGACCGGTTCCATGCAAATCGAGCACTCTGCCTTGCCTTCGCTGCCTAGCATCTCCTCATCGACCTTTTTCTTCGGCAGGGACTGAATTGCGCTCTCCGGGGCCGGGGGAGCCCCTGTTCGATTGATATTCTGGTCGATCAACTGCGAAATAACCCGGTCCAGTTCCTCTTGCGAATACACCGCATCTCCGAGTCGATCAAAGTTAAGCAGAGTTGAAAGCATGGCCAGCGGGTTCGGACCAGTCATCACACGCACTCCTCCACCTGCGACATTGCCTCCAAAGTCGGCGCGAAACAGCTCGAGGATACTACCCAAGTCAGCCGTGGACAAATGAACCGCTGAAGGGCAAAATGGATACGTACTCGCCCAGAGTGCCCAAAGGCGGTGCCATCGGCTGCGGACCATCCGCATCTCGCGGAAATAGCCTGCCAGTTGCACGGAATTCGGGCGATTCGCTCCGCGCACGATGCTCATCAAGGTCCGTCTCATGTCCCTCACCCGTGGCGCTCCGATTTTGGGTTTGATTCTGAGGCTGGCCCTGCCGGTAGGTCTCGGCCAACCCGTGGAAAATTGTATCCAGGCTGCGCACTACCGGCATCAACGGGTCTATCTGCATCTGTCTTTGGTCCATAGATCGTCCGGCGTGGAAGCCGCCATCACCTATAGTGGCGGTAGTAGTTGTGAAAGTAAACCGGCCATCGGGGGACCTGTATGTACGACGTGAGTACCCCGGCCGCCATGCAAAGTCGCCGCCTCGATGAGTCTCTTCATGCGCCCAAGGGTTGTGATCGGCCCAAGGGTTGATGTTGGGCTGATTATTCTCTTCGCGGGGCGGGGAGTCATGGGAGGGCCGAGAGGAGGGGTCTTCTGTATCAGGCGGGATTTCGATCTGATATCGATGATGTTAGCAGATTTTCGAAATAGACAAAGAGCAAGCAACCGAGATACGCACAATCTCTGTAAAATCGGACTGACAGTGAGGACAGTTCAACCCATTAGCAGCATTTTTCAGCCAAACTCCAGCGCACGCATGACAGAACATGCGGTCCCCCGCATCAGCCATAGCAACGTCGTCCATGAAGGCGAATGAGACGAGGTGGGAGGAAAGTCTAACTGATGTTGAGAAGAAACTGAGGAAGTAAGTAGATAAGTAGGTAGAAACGATGAAAGAGTACCGGCAGGTCAGACAGTTGGAAATTCGCGTGTCTTATTCCTTAGGATCTCCGAATCATCCAGAAACATATTGACAGCAGTGTGTTGTTTTTCTTCACCAGGCGAAGCAATTCATTATCGCCAAGATAATGAGCCTATGTTAAAAGATAAAGAAATAAGAGCAACTGAATCCAAATGATGAGGCCGAGGAAGAGAGTAGTGGAGCACGTCAGGCAAACAAACCAGCCGCTGTCTGGAGGCGGATGACGTTGGCTGCTGATTCACCCTGTGGCGGAGAACCATCGCGGCCAGCATTCACATTCCCAGAGACAGCCACAATCTGAACACTCAAGGTAGTATTGGGAGACAACAGACTGTACACATAATTCATCCCGACAACTCTGGAAGGACTAAAAAAATGGACATGCAGAAGACAGCCTCGGCATCCCTAACACATCCCAGTGGTCCTGCGCTCAAACAACAGAAAACGCCTCATATGCTAAATAAAGCCCGGACAAAAGAGTAGGAGAATCATGATATATACACAACTTTCAAAGAGCCAATCCTGTTCACCGTCTCTTTGTGGCACCTTTGAACACAAGACCGCCCACTACCCCGGCCGCCAGAGCCAGGCCACCCACGATTGCGATGCCCATCAGACCCTCTTTGGAGACCTTGTCGTCGATCAGCGAGCCGAGGCTGGCGGCTTGCAGGTTCGCCGGTTCCTTCTCAAGGAGAAGATCATTGTATCGCCGGGCTTCGCCGTAGTTTCCGAGCTTGTAGTTTCCCAAAGCCAAGTAGTAGAGACATTCGCGTCGTCGCTCTGGCGATGCGCGGAAGATTTCTGATAGAAGACGGACTCCCTCTTGTTGATCCGTCCGAGCATTGGATTTGATCAAGCCCTAGCTTGTCAGCCGGTCGACCACAAGGAGGGATAGTAGCCGGCATACCCATGCGTAGTTGAATTTCGTCTGAATTCCAACATAATCACCCTCCTTCTCGTACTGGGCACGCAAGACTTGGAGCTCTGCTGGTTTCAACGGGCTGGAATTATGGAATGTTTAGCGAGGGCACGACGTATGAGAGTCCGGATATTGCTAACCTTTCAGCGTCCGCTGCATCTGGAAGCGAAGGTGGTCAGTTTCGATGCAATCCCAAGCAAAGTGATTGTAGCCTGGACAAGACATACATGGTAGGTTGGATCCCATCGTGGGGTTGAGATGTTTGTGGGAAGTATTAGACCCGTGTATAGTAAAGAAACTGGGTATATTGATATGACAGCAGATCAAAAACCTCCAACTGAGAGGTAAAGAAGCATCTAGTCCACCTCCATCAACCCAGCCATCACGATGTTTCGTCACCCACTAACATGTGGCTGTGCTAGCACATGTGTGGCGCTGTGGCGGTTGCTCCCCCAACGGGAAGTCATCAACAGTCCAGACCTCCGTGACCTTAATGCATCACATCAATACATCATCAAGAGGATTTAAAAGGATAACACGACCAGCTGTACCTATTTTCTCCCTCCAACAAAATGTTGCTCGACGAGGACCCCGCGACAGTATGTTTTGGTCCATGTTTCTCTCCGTACTATGGACTAACAATCACAGCTCATCCACCACACCATCGGCAACTTCAATATCCAACCGGACAAACAAGCCGTCACCCGCATCAATGACTCCCTATCTACCTTGCAACAATCTCGCGAGCTCCGCATGCGCGATGCCGAGTCGGCGCTCCGTAAACTCTCTCGCAACCTGCAAGCCCTGACCGCGCAACACGAGGAAGCCGCGTCTGCACATGACTCGGCAAAGCACGCAGCGCAGATGGTTGATCTCGACACGAAGAAATTCCGGATCGCCAAGGCCGCGACAGAGCTGGAGATTGAGAGCGAGAGGCTGGAGGGCGAGCTGGAAATGCTCAAGGAGAGACTGGCCGATTTGGAAGCGCAGGGGCTTGAGGGCGATGAAGCTACGCGGAGAGAGAGGGAGGCCGACGATGCGACTATGTGGGTGGTGCTTCTTTATTTTTACTGGATGGTACTGACCGACTATGCGACAGTCTTCGCCTCAAGATCTACCGGTCTTTGGGCATTGATATCGAGGCGGACGACGCCGGTAATTTCGGCAAGGCTGTTATTCGCAACAGTCGCAAGGGAGACGTCCATGTGGTCAATATTGACCCCAAATTCTCGCGTTTCTTCTATGCCAATTACTTTTGGTCAACCATGCAGGGTTGATGTTTTTGTGCAATTTGGTTATGGCGTTTGGTGCTTTACAGGGATTCCTTGCAGGAGGACCTCAGGCGTACAGTTTTCGAATTGTGGGATATAATGACGCGGTGCTCCTGATGTTATTCTTCTGTGTTTTTCCTTCTGTCGCTCGATATACCCAGGGGTTCGTGAGTGATTCGTCAATCCGATATACTGTTCTTATGATTTTAAACCGTGGCCAGTGACTAGATCGTGTCTAGATAGTCGAGAGGACTTTAGATCAAGTTAAACTTCCACTGTCCACAGCAGGCGCTTGTAGCCTGCTGCGCAGCAGCAGCAGTATCTTGGCCCTGTCTGCCTCGGTCAAAGTAGTGCATGTACCAGTTCCTAACAAGAGCGGCTTCTCATCAGGATACAGCTGCTGTACAAGATCCAATAATTCTCCTCTACGCGCCCCCGACATCTCAGAGCTCGCATCCCACAGTCGTAGCCACTCAGCCTGTCGCTGCACCATCAGATCCTCGACTTGGTCCATAGAAGGCAGTTCACCCCCATCCCAGGTCAGACTGATCCTCCTGCCCGACACATCCCCATAGACCATCTCCACCCCCAACGCACCCAAACCCAGCTGCTCAGCGCAAGTATTCCACAGCGCCTGCTGCACCTCCCCATCCCGCTCAACCATCATCCACAGAAGCGGGTATGCACTTCGCGCCATCGCATCCCGAACCCCCTTCGTCGCCTCACGAGGGCCAACCAGAACTCCAATCTTCGTCCCCGTGCGCCATCCCACAGGGGACTGGCGGAACGTTCCTTCGAGCTCCCGGACGAGGTTCGGCCCCAGTTTGGTCTTGAGGGACTTGCACTGCACGAAGACGCGCAGCGGGTGTTCGTGTTGCGGGAGGTGCCAGGTGCCTACGAGGTCGATGCCGGCATCGTCGCGCCCGCCGACTCGGTGGAGGGAGAAGGCGAAGCGCCGGAGGGTTTGCTGGACTGTGTATTCGTAGTGTGTGCCTACGTAGGTTGTGCTTGTAGTTGGGAGAGAGGTCCGCTCTGCGTAGGTGAGGAAGGATGCAAGGTCATTGTGGTGTTGCGACGGCGATGGGGGAGGAGAAGGGAGCTTGAAAAGTTGGCGAGTGAAGGGGTCGAGTTGGCGATGAAATGGACTGGCTGAGAAATTGCGCCGAAAGAGTCTGGTGAGAAGATGGACCCGATTCATATCAAGTCATGCCGACGGTTGATTGACTTAGGCTGGAGAAGCTGAGGACTGAGAGTGAAGAGGAAACTGATCTCCGTCCTGACCGCATCACCGCTTTGGCTTCTCCGCATCCGAGTACCAATAAGCCTCATTCTCCAATTATCTTCTCAGTCTCGCCCTCACATCAACAATCTCGCTCAGACACTTCTACTCTCTCCTACCTACATCTCACTCCAAACAAATACTATCAACCTGCCAATATGGCCGACATCCTAACCCAACTCCAAACCTGCCTAGACCAGGTAACTCTCCCATCCCAGCGCACCCCTCCAAAACCACCAACCTGACCCTCAACTCACAGCTCGCAACCCAATTCTACGCCACAATAGGCTACCTGAGCACCTACCACGACAACTCCCCCGCAATCCCACCCTCCGACATCCCAAACGCCGCCCCAGCCCTCGCCAAAATCCCCAAGAACTCCACCGCGCCCCCAGTCCCGGCCGGCGCCCCCGTCCCCGCGCAGTCCCAGGCATCCCCTCCAGCCCAGAATCCCGCGCAAGGCGGAGCAGGCGCCGGCGCAAGCGTGGGCGACGGCGGCCAAACGCCCGGCCCAGCAGCAGGCGCAGGAGCGGACCCGAACCTGCCCCCGCCGGACAGCCCGCGGACCTTTGCGAGTCGGCAGCGGGAACTGGCGCGGGATCTCATCATCAAGGAACAGCAGATCGAGTATTTGATATCTGTATTGCCGGGGATTGACAGCTCCGAGGTGGAGCAGGAGAAGCGTATTCGGGAGTTGGGGAGGGAGTTGAGGCGGGTCGAGGAGGAGCGGGAATTGAAGATGAGGGAGTTGAAGAGGTTGGGGAGGACGCTAGAGAAAGTGCTGAGGGCGGTTGAGACGGGGATATATGGAGATCGGGCGCTGCTTGAGCGATATTCTTGATGCCTCGCTGTCTTTGGGTCTTAGTCCAGGCATTGTATTCTCCACGCTGAACGGATGGCTTTCGGAAAGTCTATCTGGAGTGCTCTATACGCCATACTCTACAATGCGTACCAGTATCGATTATCGTAAGATGTATGATTAAATGCCAGCATATCAAAAAAGTGCATAACCCGTCTTTATGATTCTGCGCCCATCCGTCCCGTGTATACCTAGAAAGGAACCCCAGCACTAAATCAGAAAAATTGACCATTACCATGAAAGTCCCATGGACTCGCGTCCCAGCCGTCTTGTGTAGCGTCCTGTATACCCTTCCCTCAAGATGACGGCGTCTATGCGTCTGCAGAATGGTGTGTAGCTTCCTTTCCATGACGTTGATGTAAAACCCAGAAGGATAGAAAATGCAAAGAACTGGAAGATCGCAGAAAAAGAAATATGAAACCCAGCCCAGGAAAACCGGTCAAACGCCAACCAAATGTCCGGGTATCAAAATCCATCCCTCCATGCTGTCCGAGCGAGGATAAGTTGGGCGGGGGGGAATGAAAAGAATGCAACTGCGAACCACAAAGGCAGCAACATCATTTGAAGAGACTTCTATATTCTCTCATACGCTGCTCCTGAACTTCTTTCTTGTCAAGCTTGCCTCGGTTCATGCTCATGTCTGCCAACTGCTGCTTCTTCTTGGCAAGCTCGAAGATCTTCTCCTCTATACTCCCCTTCATGATAAATTGAACTGTGGTCACCTCGCGCGTTTGACCCAGTCGGTGCACCCGATCGATTGCCTGGGCGACAGCGGCAGGATTATATTGAGGTTCCATGATATACACTTTCGAAGCAGAAGTCAAGTTCAATCCAACACCACCAGCACCGATCGTCGCTAACAAGATGGTGGTGTTGTTGTTGGCTTGAAAGTCCTCTAGAGCTCTGTTACGAGCTGCGAGCGACATTGTCCCGTCCAAGCGGGTGTATCCCGTCATGCCTTGATCTTTCAACGCAATCTCGATCAAGTCAAGATGGGAGGTCCAGGCCGAGAACACCACGCTCTTGACGGGGGGCTCACCGTTTAGTCTCTTGCTCTCCTCTGCAGATTCGGTGAGATGAGCTAAAAGCGCCTTGGTCTTCGTGTGTGGTCCTTCATATTCGCCAAGGGTTTTGGACTGCCTTCGGCTCTGCTTCGCTTGTTCGTGCTCCGTCAAGTACGCCTGGAGTCCTTCGGCAGTGATGGTCGAATACGAAACGGGAATCCAGCCGTCACAAACCTGGCACTTCATTGTATTCGTAGGTTCGACTTGACCATCAAAAGCTTGCTTCCACCCAGAGAAGCAGTCGGGGCAGAGGACGTCAAAGCAGGGTAGCACTACCGCCATTGGAGCTTTCTGATCTGTCACCCCGGTGTCTGATCCGGGCTCTTCCAAGCGCTTGCCACACACGGCACATGCATCGGCTGACGATTCCTGCATCAGATTGAACATCTCGTACGCCTTCCTGTCAATCACACCGGCAGATTCGCCCGTTCCTTCTTCAAGATCAATTGCGTCCTGCACGCTGATTCCTTTGATCCGCTGACGATCATCGCTGTCGAGAAGCTCTTTGCCATGTGCACTGATTTGTCGCAAGATCATCATTGCTTTGAGAATATGGTGGTACATTCGTCCCTTCATCTTCGTTTTGTCCTCTCCTGCAATCACCCTCATCATGACATTGGACTCCTTCCGGAAGAATTCATGCAGTTGCTTCTCCTTTTCAGAGAACTCCAGCGTGATAATCTTGTCGTGCCGAGGAGGAATGTCAATCTTGTCTTTGACCCGACGTAGAGTGAAGGAGTCAACGAGCACACGCAAGCTTGTGAGAACTGTCGCGTCGCCAGTCTTGAATCGACTAAGAATGTACATGCCAAATCGGGCTCGATCATCGTAGGGGAACAATCCAAGAAACTTGGTAACGGAGAGAAGGTCTTCAAGGCGGTTCTGGATGGGAGTACCGGTCACGGACCAGCGGCGCTGAGAGTTTAGCTTGAATATTGCCTGTGTCTGGGCAGCACTCTGCTCTCGGATTGTGTGTGCTTCGTCCAAAACAATGCGAAACAGATTCATCTTCGTCAAAGGACTTACGCCTCGCTTGGATCCTCTCCGAGACAGTTCGGATAGCACAATGCTGTAGGTTGTGATCACCAAGTCGTAGCCGGACAATTCGTCCGCATCGTTGGTCCTGGAGGAGCCGTGGAACACGTAATATGAGATGGAGTTTGCCTTCAAATGCTCTTTGATCTGCATAACCCAGTTGTTGACAGTACTCAGAGGAACGACTAAAAGAGTTGTCTTGCAGTTGCGAATACCAGGTAAGCTTCGCACAAGGTCTGGCTCCGGTATTTTCATCGCCCATTCACGAGCCTGGGTCAAAGAGGAAACAACGAGCGAAAGAACGCTCAAAGTCTTTCCAAGACCCATCATATCTGCTAGTAAGCCGCCTAGGCTTTGAGGCGGCTCTTCGTCGAGGACAGTGCCACTGATGATTTCACGATACCGTTTCACCCCATTAGCGCGATACTCTATCCTCCAAAGGGAATTGTTATCCTCCTCTTTGGGACCAAACTTGCGCGGTTTCTCTTTCTCAGTCATGAACCATAGAGCTTGCTTTTGATGGCGGAGGAGAGGGGTCAACACCGAAGCCGGGGGCTCCATTTCAGGAAGATTCTGCGCGCTCTGTAGCTGATCGAACATCTTCATGACTGCATCATTGACCTCTTCCGCGGTGCGAACTTCATAGCTGACACCCGTACGACCTCTTGCAGCTATTGCCGGCAAGAAGGAGGCCGCCTGAGCTCGTCGCCGCTCAGCATGCGGATTAAACACTGGCACTCCCTGTTCCACAGAGAATGGTGTCCCAAGCCAAACGTTGTGCTGCCCGAGGTGCTTACCAACCAGCTCAGCATCTTTCCTGAGACCATAGAGATTGATTGACGCTCTATAGAAAGCAGAGCAGGGTGCCCATGGCATTTCACCTGGCAGCCTTCTCCGAACATCTAATCGGGCTGTCATGTCGACCTTGAGAGCCTGAGAGTCAAGTAACGGGACAAGCACGGCTGCAGTCTTCGCGTCAACTGCACCAAAGACCTTCCCATGCGGATCAGAAACATCAATTCTGTAGCTGTTTCGATCTGGGTGTCTATGTACGCCCAGCTTTATTGAAGGCCAATCATGCGCCGAGTCGCCAAAGATATTTTGCGCAGCAGGTTTGGGCACGATTTGTGCTTGTATCATCGCATTGTCCACCTTTCCGTAACATACCCGCTGGACACTGAGATTGTTCGACCCGGTGACCTGCAAGTCGTCGTCGTCATTAGCAGCGTCAGCGGAATCTGTGCATGACACTGTCAGTATACAATCACCGGTAATCTCAGTCTCGTAGGATTCTTTCTCACCGATAGTCAGATCAACCACATTCGGCGTGGCGGGAGAGGAATAATCCGACTTCCCCTTGTCCTCTTTCATATATTTGCCCAACTCGGTGTCCCCGGTGATCGTGATCGGCCCATTCTTGACCATCTTCGGTGCTTCCTCATCATTCTCTGTTTTGATCTTCTTGTAAGGCTGATGGACTCGTTTCTCCACGCCATACATATTCTCGATGAGACTGCCGTGACGCGCCTCAAGGTCACTATCAAGGTGATCTGAGTTCCGTTTCCCGTCATTATCGTCCTCGGACTGTGCGCTCGTAAACTCAACCTCTGGCGCAGGCTCATTCCTTGCTGGCCGGCGTGGCGATGAGCTCGCACTGCTCTCTTCTCGCGAGCGGACCGACTCCGTCTGCAACCTCGACTTCGATTTCGGGCTGGCCTTGGACGAGCGCTGGCGGCGCTGCGGGTTGAGAAGCTGATGTGCAGCGGAAACTGTGCCGGCCGGCGCAACGGTCGAAGGGGTACCACGCGATGTCGCACTGGTATTTTGCTGGCCTGTTCCGTCGACGAGTAAGTCATTTGGGTCCAAGTACTCGGGGTCCTCTGGTGGGGAGGGGCAACGGCTGGATGGTGGGAAGAAAAACAAGGGTTCATCATGGGCCTCATTCCGCGCGCTTATGTGGGAATCTGGCGACGCATACGAAAACTCTGGGTCGTTACCATTCTTCTGGAGCTGTTTCCTGTAGGCCCTGGGGTCCAGGAGCATGGCGGCGTGGGACGCCATGGTCCTCTCTTCCGCCTATGCGGGTATCCGAGCCACTCAAACGAGCGGGCAGATCGTTGTACTGAGTACGCGAGCCAAGTTCAGTCCGAGAAAGAAGGATCCAGGAGGGTTGGTGAGCATAGAGATAGGGACAGGTTGCGAAGCGCGTAGAAGTATGCGAAAGAGGGGATTATCAGGAAGGGCATATGACTTGAGAGGTGGAGAATGATAGAGGCAAAACCGTAGCAAGGCATGGAAAGAAGCCCAACAAGAGCCTTATCAGTAGCCACCCATTGCCAACTGACTCTCAGGTCGTCGAGAAACTCTATTCGAAAAGAGAGCAGAAGCAGAAGGATACTTGAGCAATGGCAGCCCATGACCTCACACATAAGTGTTTCTGCCTCGATCGCATATCGCGAATGCCAAGGCGCCGATAAGAGTGCTTATCAAAGCAGCCTCACCTGGGGCTCACCATCATTTCACCTCAGATACACCTAGAAAAGACCAGCATGGAATGGATTAAATAATGGTATCATGGTAATATTATTGTCATCATATGCTACATGACCTGTCACTAACACATCCGACCATATCCTCAAAACAGGGAGAATTAACCGAGGAGCCGGCGCAAATTCTATATACAACAATGATTTTCCCCAAGCCAATGCTGCCCCTTGCAGCACAAGGACTCTCCATGCCAGATTGCCAAGAAAACAACGCTAATCGGGAGAGAAGTAATGTAAAAGTGATGAAGAAGGTTGGTTTAAAAGGACTCAATTCAAGGACATGGAAGGGGGGAGGAAGGGGAGAGATTTGAATGAGAGAATTGGAAGCTCGAAGTCCAGGACGAAGGGTGTTGTGTGTAGAGCAAAAAAGTGGTTCACAGATTAGCACCAAGTGAAGACAGGGTTTTTGCTCTTCACAGCTTCTAACCGCTCGACAATGACTTTGCGCTGATTCCCTTCCATGCCCTCAGCAGCTGCATAGCCGAGGTCGCCTTCGAGATCGTCACTACCCCAGACAAATTGAGCTTGACCATGCGCACTTGACATGGAGCTTTGTTTGCGACGATGTCCGTGGTCGGGTCTGGGAGGGAGAGGAGCCCAATTCCGATCCGTGTCTCTACCAAGACCAAGGCCATCAACACTGTCACGGCCAAGCGCGGCCGGGCTGTCATCCCGCGTCGCCCCTTCCTCGGGCTCTCGGCTGCGCGAAAGCTCGAATCGATTCGGGTTCGGAAGTTCATTGGGAGGGGAATGAAGGCCCAAAAGGTCGTGTTGTGGTTGCGACGGCAGAGACATGGCAGCGCCAATATCCATTTCCTCATTGTCTGGGTCGTAATCGTCGTGTTTGTCGTAATTTTCATAGCGTCTCACCTTGCGCTTTTGAGCATCGGTGGATGGTCTACGAAGGGGGATAGCGACCGGAACATCTACCAAATCATCCCACACGCAAACTCTGGTCCTTCTCGTGAGTTCCAAGGGGCCATGATCCGGGTGCTTCAAAGTTTCGACAACGTTCCAGGCTTGTCCCTTCATGACTGCAATCTGCCTTGCAAACATGCTCTCCTTGAAATCGTCGTCTTGGGAGAAGACACGCCGAAGTGCCATCTGGGTTCCACTCCACCAGGCCGTGGATGTTAGAAGCGGTAAGAAATGGTCCCTGGTCTTCTGAGAGAACGGTTGGCCGATGAGAGAAACGGGGAGGAACAGCCAACCAAAAGGGAAGCTTCGCCACTGTGCCAAATTAGTAAACCTTGTCCGGAGCTTTTGGGAAGGGGATATGACTTACGGCATCAGGATGCTTCCACGGCCACGACAAACTGTTGTCGATAGCCCCGATCTGAATAGTCGCCTGTGGCTCCGTTGAATTAAGCGGTGTTCCGGTGCGACTCACTGCGACCATGGTCTCATGCCGTCTATACGGATAGGATGCAGTGCCAGTCCTCTCAGAATTGACGGAAATAGGACGAGCTGGAGGCATGTGCTCGTCATCATCGTCCTGTTGTGTACCGTTGGGCTTGGGCGGCTCAGCAACAATAGACACCTCCTCTGTCTTCCAGTCGATTTTGATCATCCAATTGTCCAAGCCACGATCGGTATTTCGCATGATATAATCCAAAATTACCAGTTTCTCCAACTCCTCCCTGAAGGATTGCTTCAGCTGTTCCGTCCAGTAGAATTGCCGCTCCCGACTCTCGTCCCGCGGCGCTGGAGAAGGTGCATAATTGTTTTCATAGTCCTCGTCTTCATCGTCCGAGTGTATCCCCGACGGGCGACAAGCCTCGTTCCAAGGTCGCTTTTTACGCTTTGGAGCGTCCTCGGCACGAAACCCAGTGTTGGTCTGGTCCGGCCAGGGATGGTCGCGCAGAAATAGATTCGCATCCTTGTAACCCTTCAAGAAGACCTGGAAGCTACCAGCCTTGGGAGGAAGCGGCTTCTTGCCCATCCAAGCCTTTCTTCGATCCCAAAAGTCATAGAAGAAGGATTTCGAGGAAAGGTATACAATATCTGTGTATGGAACGAGGTTGGTGCGTAATCGAGAGTCGAGGACGTATGCTGCAGCCTCTGAGACATATGAAAGATTAGGAATCAAGCACGCCCGCCCAAAGAAGCACGGGAATAAGTTCCTGTGTAGCCACTTGGTCCACTTTGGATTGCGAGATGCGTAAGGCTCCTCATCCTTGGGCTTGAAGACGCCTACAACCTTCCCTTCACTGTTGCGAGCGAAATAACTTCCCGAGCTTCCCTGAGATATCATCCGGGGATGCACCCCCAACTCGATGGCGGTACGGACACTCTCGACAACGGCCTCGAATTCCTCTCGTGCTCGCCGCTGCGCCCCTTCAACTTCTTCCGACTCGAGAGCTTCAGCGGATATCGGTCTAACGCCATCTGGGGGTTGGAAAACCGAATGATAGATCTCGAGTTTCTCTTCTTCCAGTGTTTTCCCTTTAACCCTGTTGATCTTGAATTTCGAAGCAAAGTCCTCGGCCCAACGTTCGAGACGCGCATTGATGGCCTTGATGTCAACGCCAGAATTTCGACGCCCACGGCGGTAGTGTCCACTCAGTCTCCTTCGGTGTTCTGGTGGCGAGGCGAAGGCAGAAGTCATCTGGGCTCGAGTGGAGATGGGGGCATATCGTGGGGCGGATTCTGGTATCGTACTGGAAGGACCGTGCAAGTCATCTTCATCCTCCGAATAATAGTACGCATCGTTTGCTCTATCTTCTTCCTCCTGCGCAAGGCGGGCATAACCGGAAGTCGCGGGTCGATTTTTAGGCATGATGATGGTAGATTGTCTCAGCAAGCCCTCGAGGCGAACGGCGTCGGGCTCATCTGAAGGAGAGAGGCGAGGAAGCAAAAGAAACCCGAGAGTCTAAAGAATAGAAGAAGAGAATAGAAAAGACGAGAATGAAGGAAAGAAAGACAGAGCAAAGACACTCAAGGCATTGATTACTCTAGTGATGCAGTGGGAGAAGAAAAGGGTTGGTTACCTGGAGCAGTCTCCCGTCGTTGGATCGCCATCATGATCCATGAACGGGAGACAGTGGTCGTTACCGTATGGTTACACCAGTCAGGGACCAGACCAGCCTGAGTCAGCCACAGCTGGAATAAAATTACAGTACTGCACCGCCACGAGTCTATCCCGTGTGGCTCCACTTTGCATCCACCAGGGCAAAGAGCTTAAACAAAGCCCCTGAAATTAGAGAGACAAACAGTCGGCAGTTGAAGCTGGATATGTTGATAACTAGATGGTCACTTCAATTTCCGCCGCGGATAGATAGTATTGATGATGAGAACTATTGAATTGAGATCCGGAAACTGATATCTGCACTGAGTATCAGTTTGTGCACTCCCGCGCTACGTCTCCAACCAGCGTTTCATTCTGGGATTTGACAATGTTATTCCTGGCAAGAAGGGACAAGGGGCTTGAATGCTATACCCATTACCTCGACAAGAGCGCTTGGGTAATTTCAGTTCCCTTGACCTCGAGCCGAAAGGATGTGCCATGAAGTCACTCAAACTGGGGAAAGGGTCGTATGGGCGGTTGAAGCATGCCGTGAGCCCGTGACACAGTATATGAAGTATGCTGCCTCGATACCTCGATGCCTTGATGCCTCAAGGTCGAGGCACCTTCTATCAACCACATTGGGACTATCAGCATATCCCCCATGGCTCCATTCTTACATTTCGCGAACCTGTCAGGGTCAAAGCCGAAGCCATTCATTTTGGATTTCGAGGAATGATCAAGGGATTCTGGTGTAGCTCATTGCTCGCGCGTATGCATAGTTTTGAGTGAGGCTTTGCACACCTGCAAACATGTGGGAGAAAGGGGGACGCAGGGGTATGCAATAATAAACATGGATACTACCATCTGGATCCTCGCTTCTCATCTTATGTCGATATGCCCTGCATGCTGCATTGATGAGCAATAGCTCCTGACGTTTTCCGGTGCAAAGAGGTGCCTTCCAGGTCGTCCATCGCACATATATGATCCGACGCAGAGAGAAGTATACTAACCTGGACCTAGATATACCGAACACACTGAACAGTATATCTGTCTGGAAGAAAACCCAGAAGGCGCAGACGAGTACCGACGGTACCTTTACACTCAAGCCAAATAGTTAAAACGTTTATTCTGCCAAGCAACCGTTCCGAAAAGCGATTGCGATAAATAATCGATAGTCTCTGAGACGCGCGATAAGTCTAGATAGATAGCAGTTCCGATAATACTCCAACTTAAATCAGGATTTCCTCCGTCTCGTGTAACTTTTTCCTGTAAAAGGTCCTCTTGTTCTTGCTCTCATACCATCTTCCTTCCAATTTCAATCTTGCTTTCTCAAACTCATCTATGGTAATCGTCGTCGCTCTTTTGCCTGTTTCTCCTTCATTGTCTTTCTCGTTGGGTGTGTCTTGGGACAACCTCATCTGAGATCTTTCACTCCCTGCCCTTTTTCCTCTTTACGAAATCAGGAGGAGCAACGATTTCATCTGATAATCCTTTCTTGTATAATCTCGGCCCTTCCATAGGAACTGAAAGGCATTCCACCTCATCCATTCCCCTTTCTCGGCGAGGCTGGACTCCCTTCGTTACTGGCACGAGAACTTTCCGAGACGACGCATACAAACCACCACCACACCCTATCCTCTCCTCCCTGCCTCCATCTGCCTGCAATTCGGTCGAAAGTGGCCGAATCTCTAGCAAATCTTTACTACTCCTCCACGGTGGCTTCAATTCTTTTCCGGGCGTCGCCCATCGACCCAGCCCTCCATCCTCCGTCTCCGTCTGGTTCCCAGACACACGATCTTGCCAGCTACAACCGTACCACTTCCATTGACGGTCAATATACGTCTCATCAACCGGGAACGGATGCTATAGCGGGTGCGTTGCCGAGATTTTCACAATTGGTCGATATCGGGTCTGATCTGTGCTCCTCAGAGCAATCCAACTACAGCCCCGACAACAGCAACGGAATTGGAAGCAGTTTTCCAGGTCCCAACTCTCTTGGTCCTTCTCTTCCAGGTCTCTCTGCTCTGGCATCAGTCGCGTCTGCTCCAACATCCAATCTGCGGTATGTACACTTCTCCAGGTATCCTGCGATAAGAGTCGCCTTCTGGGCGCTTTCTTGGACAAAACAAGGATATTATAGATGCTGGAAGTTGGATCTATCTTTATTTTTACTTCCCTCTACTGTCTCCTTTGTAATTTTTCTTCTCTGCAAATCAATTCTGCGTCTATCCCGATTGAAAAGGGAAGATCGCAGGTACATCATCACAGTCAGTCGGGTTATCTTTGCTGACAAGATCCTACATGCTTAGTGCCTCCAACAGCGATGCAAATTTAGCCATGGCCAATATGACTTACGCAACCTCATCTCCCGCAGCTATGACTGGTGGACAAGGCAATAATCCAGTGAGTGAATTAGCAGTCAATTCAATTATAACATTGACAGAGTGTTCTTATCGCATGTGTGGATTCAAGCCTTATCTGCAAGTCACTATTGCTCTCCCAGCCTTTTTTTCTGCTGGTTTTCTCCCTCTCTGTTATCTACGGTCTTGGCGTTGCTGCACCCGCACACCACCCGCTTTTGCCAGTTTCTTATCATCAAATCTCTCCCGATCTTATCACCCCATCATCGCACATCCTCCAAATCCATCCACTATCAGGCGCTTCACTCCCACCATTATCCTCTTCCTCACCCAGTTCTTCTCAATTACTGCGATCTCGCAAAACTATGGCGACAACCTTGACTGACCAGAAGCGCCCTCAATTACAGCCTGTCTGCCAGAATTGTGGTACCTCAACCACGCCGCTCTGGCGAAGAGACGAACTCGGCTCGGTCCTTTGCAACGCCTGTGGCTTGTTTCTCAAGTTGCATGGCCGACCTCGTCCGATAAGCCTCAAGACTGATGTGATCAAGAGTCGCAATAGAGTCAAGACCGCCGGCCAAGGCCCTAAGCGTAAGGTGAGTCTTGATGACTAAAAAATTTTCTTATCTCGTCATTGTACCCCCGGCCTGGCGGAGATAAGGGTCGCTGGATTCTGACATCGCGTTCTTTCAGTCCAGCAGTGCTGTAGATGCAAACGGTCTTTCGACCTCGAGGTCGGAAGACGGCACACCTCCTCTGGGATCGCAGGGTTATCGTCGCGCATCGCGAAAGACGTCACCGGGCCATTCGGATCGGTCCAATTCACCAGTGTCCCGAACTGACACCCCCGGAGTTTCTGCCTTGCAACAACAACAGCAACATCAACACAGTTCGAACATTGCGCCCCAGCACATGTTCGACAGCGTCACCCTCGCCGACCATACTCTAAATCCGTCCAATGCCCTCCCTTCCCTTCAGCTGCATCAACCGTCTCCCACCTCGACCTCTTCGGCAGCGATAGACCGTCACGCCGATGCACCGCAGACATACGAGGGACTCCTTGCAGCAAATGCATCATTGAAAACGCGCGTGAGCGAATTGGAACTCATCAATGGGCTTTTTCGGGGCCGTGTTGCGGAGCTCGAACAGAGCGACGCGACCGCGCGCCGGTCCGAGATGATCGTCCGAGATTCGGAAGCGCGTCTTCGTCGGTCTCTCGAAGATGCGCAGCGTCGAGAAGAAGAGCTCAAACGGCGCCTGAGTGATCTTGAGCGGCAGTTAGCCGACCAGGCCAACTTGAACAGTTTGGCGAACAACGACAGTCCCGGCGAACCCCTGTCCAAAAAGATAAGGTTGTCCGACGTGGTAGAACAGTCCTCCGCTTCGCCAACGAAGTCGCCGAAGAGCATCTAAACCAGGAACCGGTCAACTATTCGTGGAAAGCGTGGCACCGACCTTTGCAACACTCAAAACATAAAAAGTACCCCGTCCCGCTACACTCTCAGACTTTCCTGAACTTTCTTGATACCCTTTACGAGTATTGTCGTTGGCTGGATATAAGTCGGATTGACCTAATATCTGTCTTATCCTTCCCCTTTCTTGTTGTCTGCTTCTCGACTCGTTCGTGGGCAGGTTTATCTGATCTTTCTTCTTGATGACATCCTCCCACCAGCCATCTTTCTTAAAAAGTAAAAAAAGCACTTCGCGGAGCGAACGATGCTTGAAAAAATTAAACTTCCAAAAAAAGGAAAGGAAAAAAAGGAGTGGATCTCGAACACTACTCTGTCTGCTAATTATTCCCACCGCAATCAATTTGTTGATTTATATTACCAGAGCCTTGTCTCTGCGTCGCCAGAGTTCTCCATTGTGCACGGAGGATCGGTCATAAGTCGAAAAGAGTGAGACAACTAGAGACAATGGTCGGTGCAGAAGTGCAGGGCACGGTATTATATTTCCTCGGTGCCTCTACATATCGCACATCGTTTCCCCTTCATCATCCTGTGAGGGAAAGCAGGGATGATACAGTGCGTGGCCTGCGTTCATCGCCTTTCGCCTCCATGTTAGCATGTCTTTCGCTCTCTTTTTTGCTGTTCGAGGGATCTGATTGTCTTTTTGGGTAGCCGAAGTGCCGAAGACCTCAGCTTTGGCGATTGATGACTTCATCCATGTTTGCTATTCTTATTCTCCCAGTGTACTATTAGTTTTTCAATATTTCTTTTTCTAATCAGTTGACGAAAAGGTTCTCTTTGGTCAGTTACGATGTTGGCGTTCCCTGTAAATTCACGATCTATCCCCAGTTCTTTACAGCTTTTGACTATACTATAAGAAATTTCGAAATCTGGAGGTTTATTTGAAAACTGACAGTGAAGAAACGGTCCGAGGCGTATGTGCATTGATTTAAGACGGTATCTGAAACCTGCTCAGAAAGGGAGAAATAGCATGGAGCGATCAATGGTGTCAGAAATTGGGCTGAGATGAAGCAGAGAATGAAGAGATAGGAAGGAAAAAAATTGTAAGCAGACCCGTTCTAAGCCTCACCGTCTATATAACCGCCCAGAAACAGTCATGACAAAATTATAGGAAAAAGTATTAGAGAATGTCAGGAAAGATAATGGGATGATAGGACTGAATGCGACGTCACGCGAGGCTTGGACGTCGCTCAAGAGAATCGTCTGGAATCCTCGAATTTCGCAAGCTATCAGGCGAGACGGTCATGTTCGACCTTCTTGTGAAATGTTCTGTGAATCTGGTGCTCGCGCCAGATACTCCACAGGCACACAACGATTCCGGCAACGCCAGAGAAGAAAGTCGTGTAGTAGGCACCTTGATAACAGCCCAAGCCGTCCGGGCAGTCTCGCTCGCCATCGTGGTCAACAATCGAGTGTCTATCATAGATGCCGCCGTAGATTAGATTGAAAAGGTTACCACTCAGAACTGGTGCAAGGGTCATCACACCCCAGTTCTGAGAGAGACCTCCAATTCCGAATGTATGAGCTACCAGCGATGGGAAGACACCGAAAAGGAATCCGTATGCGACGCCGGTGCACCCCGAAACTATGACCAACTGGTTAGGGTTCGAGATCGCGGCTCCCGCAAGTTGTGTTCCCGTGAACACAGTTGCAGAAATGAACAAGCACCAAAATCGGGACATGTTCAACTTCTTGACTAGCAGGTCAGACCCAATGCCTAGAGATAAGGTTAGATATAGTCTCAGACCATATATGGACAGATGAGCTGCGACATACCACTCAAGAGGCGGCCAATGAAGTTGCCAAAAGACAAGATGGAAACATGCATGACCTGTCGCTGATGAATGAATTTGGAGCTCGCACTGTCATCGTAATGTTTCCAGAGAGCTTTGGCCTACGAGACATTAGAGAAGAACGGGTGGACAATAGCACCAGATACCCTTACAGTGTTGCCAATATTACTAATAAAAAGTAAGGATTAGCATTCGCCTTAGAGGGTCAGAAGAATGAGGCTAGGGGAGGGAACCAACTTGATAGTCATTAATCCAATTCCAGAAAGAAGCGCCATTGTGAGGAACAGTTGCCAGAACTCTACTTTCGGCAGCATTGCCAAGCCTCTAAGGTCTGGGTGAGGTGAGTCGAGAGTCACATGAGACAGATCTTCATCTGCGCGGAATCCATCCAGGGTATCTCGAGACAACCTCGAGGTCGGTTTAGACATCAAGGAAGATGTCTCGTCGTTGTCCGGGCTATTGACATGATGGTGGTGGGAATTCGAGGCGAGTGAGGGTGATCGGGCGTGCACGTGGGGCTGTGATTCAAAGACACTAGAACTTTGCGTACCTGCTTCATCATAGTCTTCCTGATAAGATCGTAGTTCAGTGGACTTAGTAGTACGCAACGGCCGGGAGTCGACGATGGGGTCCCTCGGATGTGACAAAGGCTGGTATGGGCCATGGGGCGGCAGGATACGGAGGAATGGTATAGCGACAAGGTTTAATAAGAAGGTTCCTAGGGCCAAGAGAAGAAGGAATTTGCCTGTGTCATCCTTAAAGATAATCGCAGACACCGTGGACCAGAAGAAGGCGCTCAGGCCAAATGCAGCCAGGGGAAACGCAGTTGCTGTGCCTCGATGATCAGGGAAGTTGGAAGCCGCTGTTTCCCATGATTCTCAGCTTTAGTACCACAACAGACCGCGCTTGTTCTTTACACATACCTGTCTTGATAGATGCGGAAAACGACGAGCAGCTTCCAAAGCCAGTGAGAAAAGAGAAAAAAGACAGCATTGCCACCCCCAGCGACCCTTCCCCATGCACATATGCTGTTTACAGCCAATGACACATCAGTCATAAAGTCCACCACTGAACGAGAATCATAAGTCATACCTTGATAGATCGGGTAATACCCGACGCCGAGGGAGATGGCTCCCAAGATTGTTGTAAGCCGTGGCCCCCGAGCGTCTGTTAGCAATCCCAAAGGGATTCCTGACGCATACATGCCTAGATTACCTGCGGCACCCTGATAGAAATGAGTTTTGATGTTTTTATGAGCTGAGTCGAATGCAGGCCGAATTGCTTACAATGAAGTTACTCTCTGTTGATGAGAGCTTCATCCGATCCGCGAATTGAGGTTCCCATGCGGAGTATGCATACTGTTCGAGAACTCAGCAATTGACATATACTCTACGATGATTCTTGTGACAGACGAAGAAGAATTGGAAATCAACAGACGGATGATCATACATTAGTACCACAGGCAAGTGCTGTGAGTGTTCCAGCGATAACGGATATTATCCGCGTCGACTGATGATTTGAGCCCGTCATAGCTATCAATCGGCGCACCGTCTGTTGAAACTCGACTCTAAAACATGAGTTCTTTTAAAAGACCTTCAGATGATCTCTGCAGAAGCAGGGAGCAGATATCAATCTGGTCGCAGATGTCAAGGGACGGCCTGCGATATGGATCGGAGTTGGAGAGCAATCACCGAAATATCTATTTTCAACGGACAAACTAGAGCGAGTTCATGCCAGTGAACCGTCTCGTAAGTATGATTAGACAATTAAAGTAGGGACAAAGGAAGAGACCAAAGGAGAGAGGTGATGAAAGTGATAATGAGCGGAACAGTTTGAGTCTGGAGACAGGTTGAGTGGCCTAAAGTGTACGTACTATCGCTATCATCGAATGTCAGTTTGTTATCGCCGATACCCTGCGCTTACGTGTACCCTCACATGACTCAGGCAACTAAAAGAAAGGCGGTCACATGATGCGCAATGACGATAGCAGCATCTCTCCAATTCCAGCTTCCTGATCGCAGCCACCTCGAGCTGCATCATCGCACCTCTTCATCTGATCCTTTGATTTGAAGGCCATATCCCATTCGGTACACCCGATAGAGGCTCAAAGATTACGACAACATGGGAGCTCTATTGTCCTTGCCTCTGCTGGCCATCCCGAGCGCCAGTACGGTACGTTGTTACTGGTGGAGTCTTCCAGATAGGTACACTGACATCTGGAGTAGCTCATCACTGTCGCAACTTCGTGTTGTGGAGCCGCAACATGTTCAGCGGTTTGCAGTGCTTGTGGAAAGTTTCAGAATAGGTAACAATCCTTTACTAAAATCAGTTCAAAAGAGTGAGGAGAATCAGCGAGTCGCTAACGCTTGTTCGCCGCATCAACAGTATGATGACGAGAATCGCTTATGCATTCATTCTCTTGATCAATTCGATCGTTTCCTGGATAATGCTTACACCATGGGCGCTGAAGAAGTTGGAGCACATGACGCTAGACTACATGGAAATACGATGCGACGGGAAAGAGTGTCATGGTTGGGTGGCGGTTCATCGTATCAACTTCGGTCTCGGCCTCTTCCATCTCATTCTCGCTTTTATGTTGCTTGGCGTGCAATCGTCCAGAAATGGTCGGGCAGTTCTGCAAAATGGTTTCTGGGGCCCCAAGATCATCCTATGGATTGCCCTCGTGGTGGTGTCGTTCTTCATCCCGGAGTCGTTCTTCCTCGTATACGGTCATTACATCGCTTTCTTCTGCGCGATGCTCTTCCTCCTTCTCGGACTCATTCTTCTGGTGGATCTGGCGCACTCATGGGCTGAACTCTGCCTGCAGAAGATTGAGGACAATGATTCTCGGCTGTGGCGCGGGCTGCTCATAGGCTCAACGCTCGGCATGTATATTGCATCGATTGCGATGACCGTCCTGATGTATGTGTTCTTCGCTAAGAAACATTGCTCTATGAATCAAGCAGCTATTACGGTGAGTTGTGTTCCCTCAAGTTGAACCAGAAGACTTCCATGAACTCATATGACTTCACAGATCAACCTCATCGTCTTTCTCATCATCTCGATTGTGTCCGTTCAGCCTGTGGTGCAGGAGTCCAATCCTCGAGCTGGGTTGGCGCAGGCGGCAATGGTGACGGTTTATTGCACGTACTTGACCATGTCTGCCGTTTCGATGGAACCTGATGACCGCCAATGTAACCCTCTGATCCGCGCCCGAGGCACGCGAACGGCCACCGTCGTTCTGGGCGCCATTGTGACTATGGCGACTATTGCATATACCACGACCCGTGCTGCCACCCAAAGTCTTATGCTAGGGTCTCAAGCCGGCCATGGCCAGTACGCGCAGTTGAGAACGGACGACAACGAACATGGCCTCGTGACTCAGCAGCCTAGTCGCCGTGAGATGCGTGCTGAGGCTCTTCGTGCTGCCGTGGAGAGCGGTAGTTTGCCAGCTAGCGCATTGGACGAGAGTGACGATGAGTCCGATGACTATAATACTCAGGACGACGAGAGGGGCTCAACGCAATACAACTACTCTCTTTTCCACATTATATTTTTCCTGGCTACGACCTGGGTAGCTACCCTACTGACTCAGCGTCTGGATCCTGAGACCACAGAGGACTTTGCACCCGTGGGCAGAACATACTGGGCTAGCTGGGTGAAGATCATCAGCGCTTGGGTGTGCTATGCGATCTACTTGTGGACTCTGATTGCCCCCGTCCTTCTGCCAGATCGTTTCGATGTCTATTAGGCTGAAGGGTGTTGTTTGCTCATTCATCAATTGGATGATATCGTCTGGGAGTTTGGCGTCTGAGAGAAGTGTGTACCCTTATTTCACTCGTTTCGCATTATACGTATAGGAATTGCTTCATCGTTGATCGTTTTCGAGCGTCAGATACAAGAAGAGAATTGTCAGATTATCCTTTTGTCAGGTTACCCCTGTAGTCAAATTTGGAATCACTGTAGTCGCACGTCGACATTAGACCATAAAATGGGAATATTGCTTGGCTTATCAGCCACCGATAACGAACTCCGCGTAAAGTGGCCGAGGGACGCGCATAATCCCGTGTCAACCTGACTGGTGCCACCATGGGATGATATGGCGACTATCAAGGCCATCGAGGCCCGTTCGGTATGCTTAAATTTCTTCATCTCTGGTGGAATAGAGTCCGGTCCGCTAATCTCCTTATTTGGCGTTCAGGTTCACCAGATTCAATCCGGTCAGGTGATTGTCGATTTGTGCTCCGTTGTGAAGGAACTGGTCGAAAACAGTCTTGATGCTGGCGCAACATCAATCGGTAGGATTATGGAAAACCATCAAAGATATGCCCTGAGCAACCGATAGCATATTGACACGCTCTTGTTTTTCTGGACAGAGGTCCGTTTCAAGAACAACGGGCTGGAGTCGATCGAGGTACAAGACAATGGAAGTGGAATTGCACCAGAGAACTATGAGAACGTCGGTAAGCTTCCCTTGGCAGAGATTTCGGTCTGACTGTGGAGTGTTGCTCACCTTTGGTAGCTCTGAAACATTATACGTCGAAACTCTCGTCCTTCGAGGATCTCTCCCGCGTACACACCTTCGGCTTCCGAGGCGAAGCTCTCTCGTCCCTATGCGCTGTATCCGATTTTCGCATCGTCACGGCGCAAGCCAACCAAGCTCCCAAGGCGACTAAGCTCGAATTCGAAACATCGGGGAAGCTGTCGAAGACCCAAATAGTCGCGGGCCAAAAGGGCACAACAGCCTCGGTGGAGGGTTTGTTCAAGAAACTCCCCGTCCGCCGTCGGGAGTTGGAAAAGAACATCAAAAGAGAGTATGGCAAGGTCTTGAATCTGCTCCATGCTTATGCTTGCATTAGCACGGGGGTACGCTTCAGCGTCCGGAACTCGGTAGGAAAGAATCGTAATGTGGTGGTCTTCTCGACGAATGGCAACCAGACCACAAAGGAGAATATTGCGAATGTCTACGGCGCGAAAACCCTGTTGGCGCTCATCCCACTCGACTTGACCTTGGAATTTGAGCCGTCCGCTGCAGGGAGGCGGACAGCTGAAGGGGAGCTCAATGCAATTCAGGTCAAAGGGCACATCTCCCGTCCAGTATTTGGTGAAGGAAGGCAAACGCCCGATCGTCAAATGTTCTTTGTGAATTCCCGGCCCTGTGGTCTGCCGCAGATCGCAAAGGCGTTTAATGAGGTATACAAGTCTTTCAATGTGTCGCAGTCTCCCTTCGTCTTTGCGGACTTCCATATGGACACGAATGCCTATGATGTGAATGTGTCCCCTGACAAACGCACAATTCTGCTGCATGATGCGGGAGCATTGATCGATTCCCTCAAGCAGTCTCTTACGGAAATGTTCGAAGCGGCTGATCAGACTGTCCCTCAGTCTCAAATAGCTGGCTATAAGCAACCTGTTCCGAAACAGCAGCTGGGGATATTGCAGGCAGGTACCCCTCGTAGGGTTTCAGGCGAGAAGGAGGCTATGGCAGGAGGAGAGCCAGAGCATCCCGCTGATGAAGAAGACACGGAATCTAGTCAGCTGAGCTCTCAGGCTAAGCTGAAAAGCTTTCTGAGTAACCTTGGTGCACAGCAGGAACGAGCGACTCCATCCTCGCCTCCTGTCCGCAGAGAGGAGTCAGAACAACCGGTTTCAACTGCAGCGCCAAATACCCCCGCTGGTCGGGCTGAATCCTTGACAAGGACGGTTGACAGTGAATTATTCGTTCCAGAGGATGGTACACCATCCAATCAAACTCCCCAACTTTACAAGGTGTCAGACAAGGAACCAGAGTCACCGAAGGATGCCGCAGAGCAGTCTACGCCACAGGACGATTCTGAGCTCTATCGACAACACACCCCTTCAACTCAAACAGATTTACCCGAAGAGACACCCAATGTCATACAGAATGCCTTCGATCGAATGCGACCCAGACGTATACCGGCTGAAGTTGCCACTATCACCATTGGCAACAAGACAATTACGTCCATGGTAGGAAGCGGAATACCTAGGAAAAGGACCGGAGGATCAATTGATTCTACCGGTGGAGGCTTGGACCGCAAGAGGAGGATACACACTCCCTCTCGTCCTAACATCTTTGGTAAACATATGAGGGCCTTTGCAGCTCCAGGATCGCAGATAGAGAAAGCTAGCAGCAGTGAAGCTGAGGAGGATGAGGAGGAGGAGGAGGAAAGAGGGGAAGATGAAGAGATCATGGACAGCGATTCCGAAGACGGCTCCCGATCATTTTGTCCGTCCGATCAGGAGGATGATAGCTCCCATCCTGATGTCCCTACCGCAGAGGTGCCGGATGATGAGCTCAACGGGCCCGAAGCTACAGTTGCGGAGACGATGAATGATGAGGAGAAGAAGAAACATGAAGAAGCCGAGGTGCAGCGGCTCATCCGACAAGCAGAGGAAAAAGCAGTGTTGCCTCAGGAGAATAGTATCCACCGTGCAAACAAGCTGAACAAAGGGGCTGCTCATCGCGACTCTACGACACGTCTGGTGAGCACCATTGACGGGTCGCTCTCTAGGATTGAGAGCCAGATGAACAAGGTTCAGCACAGCCTCCGTTTCTATAGAAGGGATGTGGACTACACTCAGGAGGATACTGCGACTGCGGCGGCAGTCACAGTAGAAGAGCGGTTGTCACTGACGGTTACTAAGGATGATTTCGCCAGGATGCGCATTATTGGGCAATTTAATCTCGGATTTATCCTAGCCACCCGCTCCTCGGAAGATGGCTCGGCAGAGTCCAAGGATGAGCTTTTCATTATCGACCAGCATGCTTCGGATGAAAAGTTCAATTTTGAGCGACTTCAAGCTGAGACAGTGGTACAGAACCAGCGCCTTGTCCAGCCCAAACGACTCGACCTCACCGCGGTTGAGGAGGAGATTGTAATCGAGAATCGACCTGCGCTGGAGAAGAACGGATTTGTGGTCGAAGTCGACGACAGTGGCAACGAGCCAATCGGCCAGCGCTGCAAGCTGATCTCCTTGCCGCTGAGCAAGGAAGTTGTATTCGGTGTACGAGATCTGGAAGAGCTTATTGTTCTGCTGTCCGAGATGCCCGCAAGCAGCAACACCGGGTCTGCCGTGCAGACCCATATCCCGCGCCCGAGTAAAGTACGCAAGATGTTTGCGATGCGAGCATGCCGATCCAGCATTATGATCGGGAAATCTTTGACCCAGACACAGATGGTTCGGGTTGTGCGGAATATGGGGACGATCGACAAACCATGGAATTGTCCCCATGGACGACCAACCATGAGGCATTTGATGACTCTGGGTCAATGGAACGAATGGGATGAATTTGGGTATGACGATGAGGAGGAAGATGAAGAAAGTAGCCAGGTCGGGGTCGACCGCTTGGCTGTATGGAGGAGCTATTATCAAGAGATAGGGGAAATGAGCGCGGAGGAAGAGGAAGACACGACAGAAGGCGATAAAGAGGCTGAGGTATAGAACAGTGCACAGATTTTGGGCGTGTTTCTTTTTGGATATACTTTCGTTTTGGTGGAGTATATAATGTGCCATGAAAGGCCATGAGCATGGAATGTCGTCCTCGAGACTTCATTGATAAAGTGTCTCCTTCACTACAGAATAACCCACAATCTACTAGGCCGACTTCATCTCCCAAATTCTTGTCCAAAGTTGATGATCATTCTTGCCCATCAGTGGTATCACCAAGTATTTGACATCCTGCACATGAAGCCCAAGCAAAGACCGCAGTTCACGTACTTTATATACAACCAAGAAACAAGGAATCAAAAAATCCACCAGCTACCGACCCATCACCACCACCTCAACCACCCTGTCTTCCCATCCTCCTCTCCCTTCCCCTTCCTCTTCCCATTCACCACCATCCCCGCCT